TACTTGGATTTGTCCTAAAATAACTTCCATGCTTTGGCCAAAGATGATCATGTGGATATCACAAATTGTAATCATCGCCGTCTCTCATGTGAAAATTCCTCCAATCTTTATCTTCTTGATTTATCATTTAATGAGGATCTTTGATTGATAATCTTTATTGGCTTTCTCGTGTTCCCTCCTTGAAATAGGTTCACTTGGATGCTATTAATCTTCAAGGCAAGTGGATTGGATTCATTTGGCAACTATGCTTCCTTTACTTGCAAAGTTATCCTTGAATTATTGTCAACTTAGAAACATCAATCCGTCTCTCAATTTGTCAATTTTACCTCACCTGAAGTTCTTGACCCTTCAAATAATGAGTTTAGCTGTGAATCCATTTTGGATTGGCTATTCAATCTCAGTGATATCACTAATCTTTACCTGGCTCATAATCATTTTCAAGGGCAGTTGCCAGAGGGATTAGTGAATCTTCGAAGAATGGAAGAATTATATTTGGATGACAATAAATTCACCACCGACCAATTGCAAATTGGTTAGGCCAAGTTGAATGTCTTGAAGTTCTTGATGTTCACCCAAACTTATTTTCCGGTCCTATTCCTTCAATTTTGGAAAATTTGTCATCATTAATTGACTTGGAATGTGGAGATAATCACTTGACGGGGAGATGTCTGAAAGAAATTTTCTCAAACTCTCAAATTTGAAATCTATTTACATGGGGTCGCCGGGCTTAATCTTTGCCTTTGATTCTATGTGGGTTCCTTCTTTCCAGCTCCAACATTTTCTCTAGAACCTATGATGGTGGGTCCTAAAATTCCAAAATGGCTTTATACACAAAATCTCTTTAAGCTTAGCAATTTCCAACTCAAAATTTCATCAGACAACTTTTGGGACTTTGCAGCCCAACTGTCACAATATATTTACTTATTCAATAACAAAATGACGGAGGACATGTCCAATGTGTTGCTAAATGCTACATTTATAAGTTTCTCTTTGAATATATTCAAAGCAAGCGGCCTCCTTTGATTATCATCAAATCTCATCATGTTTGATGCAAGTGACAACTCTTTTCGAGGATCTATTTATTCATTGTTGTGTAATAAAATGAATGGAAGAAAACAATTAGAATATTTGAGCGTATCAAATAATTCTTTAAACGGAGGGCTAACAAATTGTTGGATGAATTGGAAATCATTGGATTTTATCCAACTGGACAATAATCTAACAGGTATAATACCCCCATGAATTGGTCTCTTGTCTAACCTGACGGTCTTGTTTCTCAATAAAAATAACTTATTTCGACAGATACCTTTATCATTGAGAAATTGCCAAAACCTGGAGATCCTTGATGTGAGAAAAAATAAATTATCAGGATCTGTACCGAATTGGATGTTGCACAAAGTAAAGGTTCTCCTATTAAGATCCAACCAATTCAGCGGAAATATCCCATCACAAATATATGCAAATCAGCTTCCCTAATAATATTGGATTGGGCAGACAACAAAATATCCGGTTCATTACCCTCCTTGCTTGTATAACATGACTGCCACTATAACTTTGCCCCATTCTTCACATTATGGGGTTCCCTCCATTTGCATTAGAATCTCAATTGGTCTTTATGAGTTTATAAGCAGTGTTCTACTGCTTATGAAAGGCAAAGAAAGGACCTATTCACAATACTTTGTGTACTCAATAGATATATCAAGTAATAATATATCTAGATCTATACCAACAGAAATATTTAGCCTGGCTAGATTGCAATCTTTGAACTTGTCCCACAATCAATTTGAGGGACACATACCAAAAGAGATTGGCAACTTGACATAATTGGAGTCCCTTGACCTCGCAAGCAATCGACTCTCAGGTGAAATATTCCTCAAAGTATGGTTGCATTGTCTTTTTTGGGAGTCTCGAACCTCTCTTTCATCAATTTTTCTGGAAAGATTCCATCGGGGACTCAGCTTCAAAGCTTTGATGCATTCAGCTATATTGGGAATCCTCAAATGTGGAGCTCCACTCCAAAGGATTGTTCTGATGAAAAAGGCATGGAACCCATTAAAGGAAATGACAATGACCAAGAAGATAAATTCCTCTCCCTTTTACATTGCATCAGGAGTCGGATTTGCAATGGCCTTCTGGGGAGTTTGTATTGCCATTTTTTGCATTAGGAGCTTTAGGAATTCTTACTTCAGATTCCTCTTCCGTATCAGAGACAAACTCTATGTCATGGTAGTCCTCACAATGAATCATTTGGGTTGAACTTTAACGTCATTGACACAGTGGTAAGCTGAACAAGCTTCTCATTTTTATTTCAAATTAACTATCTTATAGTTTTAGTACCCTTGCAATTAATCATGTTTATATTTATGCATTATATATGGAGGTTCTTGTAGTGCATGCTTCAATAAGTCTCTTCAAGTTTTCGACTAAACTTTGCAAGACACGGTGGGGTGGGTTTACACTGTCACTAGTGAAGCCTCAATTTCATTTTGCTTTGTTTACTTAGTTTGAAATCATGTAATGTAGTTCCATTTCCTGCATGCAATCTGCATCCCTAATAGGTTTGTGTTCACAAATAAATTGGAAACGTTTCTTTTTTAAAAAAATAAACTAAAGCAAATAGCTTGATGGTTTGTGTTGAATCAGTTTTGAGATAATTTTTTAACAAAAAAACAGAGCATAGTAGCTAGGGGAAAACACAGAATATATTTATAATCTTGTGTGACTTGGTATTTTAAATGCAAAGATATTACTACTATTCATATAAAGGATAAGTGATAAAGTAATAATTATTTGACCACATTAAGAGGAAAATAAACATAATTCTTACATTCTGCATAAATTTTCTGTCCTCTTTGGTCTGTGTTTTATCGTATAAAAATAGATAAATAGAGACCAATGGAGTACTTAACAACCTGGAAAGTCTCACTTTGACAAGTAATTCTTGAGATATTTTTTATTTATTATGCATAAGTCTTTTATTAGAGACAATCTTGATCGAAATACTATCAAGCATTAAATATGATGGGCATCTTTTTACAGGGAATCATCCTAAATTTAATATTAACTTCTTTTACTAAATCCAACTTAATAATTTCTCGAGTGATTTGGACAGCTAAGAACTTTGAATAAAGTCAGCAAAAGTAAGGATCCTGATCTATGCGGTTCAAGATCAATTGGGCCTCTAGTCGCCCACCCGAATTTTGTCCTTTTATTGGGCTGAGTCCCTTGTTGATTGATTGTTTTCTGTTAACAACAACCAAATCTAGTATAAAAAAAAAAAAACAATCAAATATGATATATATTTTAAATTTTTTGCTATCAAATATATGATGAAAAATGGAAAGTAGATAAGGTAAAAGGCTATAACAACGCCATAAATCATGAAGGATATATTCTCTCCATCATAAATTATAAAATATTTTAAACAAAATTTTATATACTAATAAACTTCATTAAATAGACTTAATAATCTTATTTTTTTAAATAAAAATATAAAATTTAAAAGTATCCTTCAATTAATAACCTAAAATCTACACTTAACTAATATTAAATATATAGAGAGAAAGGGTAATACTAAAATAAATCTATTTGATAAACCTTAATCTTTGCAAAATGTCTTATATTATAAGATACTTTTGAATGAGATTTGTTATCTTAAAATATCTTATTTAAGATAACAATCTCCTTCAAAAGTATCTTATAATCTCAGACTGAAGAGTATAACATCGTTGACATTTTGAGTGCAAGAGATGAATGAACCGATTTATTCATTGGTAGGAACTAATGACACTCATAGCCTTACACAAAAGAACAAGTTAAGTTTATGGGAATAACTGAAACATACTCCTTCCCTCTGGTATTTTTAATCGAATCTTGTATATCAATAAAATTGTGTTATTTAATTAAACTCACATAAAAATTTAATGATTTTTCAATATTACCTCTAATAATATCATAATTAATATCATTATGGTGGTAGAGAAAATATACCATTAATGATCTATTTCATTTTTTAAGATAAAGGTAAAATTATATGATTACTCAAAATATCATCGTCAACCTTATATTTAAAAAAAATAACTTTTTAAAAAATTCTTATATATAAGGATGGAGGGAGTATAACTGATTAAATTAAAATAACCGAGACACTATATGAAACTAATGATCTAATTTATGTATAATTACTAATAATTTGTGATCCGGAAGAAAGTATTTATTAATAAATTTTAAGGTTAAGGTTTATTTTTACTCTTAAATTTTTTTTCAAAGAGCTCTGAGTACCCTATACGAATAACTGGGACAATTATCCCTTTGAACTTTTTGAGAAACCAAAAACTCCTTCTATTAATTATCCATTAACTTGCCATTTTCTAATAAATCAAAACACAATGACATATAGGACTCTAAGCATATTAATTTATCCATAAACTCTTTTTTCAAGAGCTAGGCACCGAAGTCTTATTTTTAAAATAAAATTAAATAAATCATTAGGAAAAATTACATATGGGTCTCGCGGAGCAAAATTATTTACAAAAAAATCAAAAATCTCATAAATTTAGAAACTACAACTAAATCCCTTGAATCTAAGTGTAATTTGAAATTGGAGTAAAATGTAATAATCTTTCTATTAAACATATACACATTACATCAGTCAAATAATTTATTATTACTTTATATCAATAATTTACAACTACAACTTTAAATTTTTACAAATGTAACTTCATGTATCTAATAATTAAAATGATCAGTTTAACTATTAAATATGTGAAGTTACAATATTAATGTCACACCCCAAAAACCGAGAGTGATCGGCACAGATGTGGACCATATCACACATCCCTTAAGCCCTAAATTGAGAAATCTTCTCTTCTTTTCCTTTTTTTTTTTAAAACATAGTTGAATCCGTACTGAAATTTCAATAGAATCTTCCTAGTAATTAGGATCTTCCAAATTTTTTTTTCTGTCATATTTTACACACAAATATAATATTAATCAGGAACTCAACTCCTTCCAACCAGCAAACGATATATACCACAATAGAAATTTAGCTATAGGCTATGTGGAGCTAACTAACCTTACTTTCAAAATAAAATACATCAGTTCAAATGTTTATGTCAAAAGGAGATAATGCTAAGTGAAATGCCACCACCCAGATCAATTTTTGCCCTTTTAAATGTCAACAGTAGGATCAACGCCAGTTAACAAATCTGAAACCAAATAAGTTTTCAGTGAATAGCATCCCACTAATAAATAACTAAATATGTATAAAAAAGAAAGTTTAATATAATTATGTGTGTTAGAAATAAAAATTTTGCGCAAACAAATATATAATAAACTTCGTCAAAAAGGACTTTATGTAACTTTAAATAAATTCCTGATTCATTAAAATATCATATCAAACGTCATTATCATGTACTTTCAATAAAGCAAATAATTGCATAAAATAATTATAAACTCATAATTATAGGGACTTATCAGAACAAATAACAAACGAGACACACAGTCCACGAGGGTAAATAACCAAACGCGGGTTATGCCACGAAGACAAACGTGGACACACCAGTCCACGAGGGTAAGTAACCAAACGCAAGCCGAAGCCACAAAACAAACGTGGACACATAGTCCACGAGGGTAATGCTAATCAAACGGGGCTTGAAGCCACGAAACAAACGTGAGTACGATGCTTACGAATAACCATCCCTCCGTTCCACGTGTGTTGGCCATCGCACAGGGCTAGCACCTCCTATAAACACCCTGCTAGCTAGGTGTGCCATGGCGCGCCAAGGGCTAACGGAACTGCCGTTAGCAATCAGTGTTCTGTACAAAGCCCCTTTTTAAAACCATTTTCAAACATGCGAGAAAATCATCACTTCCAAGATACAGTTCTCATTCTCAAAATCAAACTCGCATGAATACTCTTAAGTATTAAAACTTGCCAGAATAACATTTCATATCAAATGCTTATGCTTGTATTTATCGAATAATCAAAAATTTTTGAAGTTGAACTCGCAAGAATCATTCTCTGTATCAATTCAATAAATTCCAGAATGAAAATTCCATAATTAAAATTCAAACTTGTATTTAGTGATAAAATAAAATTATCAAATCTGGTAAGGATAACTTCACAAAAATAAAATACTTTAATCAACAAAATATCCAATAATCACATTGTTGCTGTAAAAAGGATTTGTATAAAAATGTAGTATTTCAGTAAAAATTTTATTGGAATATCAGTTGAGACGCTATCCACTTACCTGAAAAGCTCGCAGGATGAAAATTCATTCCTTTAAACATCTCTCAGTTGCCTTTTGGCTACTCTAATTACCTAAATAAGAAGAATGAATAACTTTATTTAATGACAACTCCACTTCATATACTACCAATAAAAGTCATCAACCTATTATCTTGTCTAGAAATTATTAATTTCTTCTAAATCAGTATTTGTCCCTAACCCACCAACCATATTTGAAATATTTTATTTCTTTCTCCCGCTTTGGTATTTTAAAATTTTCAATCAATAACTTGATCCGAAATTATAGAGACTTCTCTGAGCTATAACATGAAAGCTTTAATAATCTATAATTTACCAAATTTTTCTTTCACACATTTTTACAAATACCTTGAGAGCATGCATTTATTATTGACAAATTTATGAGATAAGCACCCATACAATTCAACAGCTTTCAAATTGTTAATTCCATCCTAAAATTCGATTTTTAGCCTCACTACATGATAATATTCAGTACTAACCGACACATACACCTCAACTCTTACTAGAAGTGCATGATAGTGGCAACATGGAATAGGAACATCACCCATCAGCAAAGGAGAGAAAAGAAAAATACCGTGCTGTTATAAGAACCGAAAAGGAAGAAGAAAAACAGCAACTTTCATCAACGAAATACAGTGACAGCAACTTAAATCAACGTGCTTAACACTGAAGAAAGAAGAGCTTCAAGTTTCCACACGCATGAGAAGGAAGAAGACCAAAATTCAGCCAACAAACAAAATAGTCGAGCTACCGCGCGCGCGCGCGCATACAGAACTTTTAGCAATTGAGGAGGAAGAAAAAAGAAGGACCCAACATGCGTGCATACACCACCTTTGTAAGCCACGAAACAGAGCATAATCGAGGAAGGAAGCAGACAGAAAATTCAGCCAGCAAACACACGAATCAGATTACTACACACACACAGACTTCCAACTGTTGGGGAGAAAGAAAAGAAAGTCTAAACATACACGCATGAGCGCATCTTTTTCCACCACAGAACAACAAAGAAAAGAGCAGATATTCAACTCAGCACAGGATAGAAAATAGACAAACAGCAGAGATAAACCAATAAAACAAGAGGCATACCGACGGTGAGGAGAAGAACAAGCCAGAGGTGAGGAGGGAGAGCTCAGCAAAGGAAGTCTAAGGTCGGTGAAGAGAAGAGTCGAGAATGCTCTGTTTTTTCATCACGAAAGATATAAAAATCTGATCAAAGAAGTACTCGAGAAAATTACCAGAAAAAGCACGAAAAAACCACAAAGAAAGGCACAATAAAATTACGAGAAAGGACATTACATTTTCTTAAAATTTTTAAAACTAAACTTTTGCTTAGAAAATTTTAGACCCTGGATTCTTGAGAAAATTTCTAGAATAAATTCTTATAAACTATCACTTTTTACTTGCCATAAACTTATTTAAATAAAATATCTATTGGGAGAGAATTTTGTTCAATTTAAAATTTAGGGTCATTACAATTAAGAAGTTGAATTAGTTATAAATAATTAATTTTAAACCTTGTTAGTAACACATGATTGTTTAATTATTGAATATGTGAAGTCATCGTTATAAAAGTTGAAATTATAGTTATAAATTGCTAATGAAATAGTTATAAATTAATTATTTAATTAATATAATGTATATTTAATAAAAGTATTAATGTTTTTGCAGCATAATTTGAAATCACAATCAAGTTTCAAGGGACCTAACTATGGTATTTGAATTTTGTAAGACTTATTTATAAATAAATTTGCTTCACAGGGAGCTATACATAATTTTCCCTAAATATTATTAAAATATTAAATATTTTATTGATTAAATTTCTTAAATTTTCTAGGTCCTTCTCTGTAATTTTCTTTTGTCAACTAATAGTCTTTTTCAAATATTACAACCACTCAAATTTAATATAAAGTTATAAAATATCAAAATATTAAATAATTTAAAAGTGATGTCATCCTAGAGAGTAAATATGCACTATACTCTTTTTCCTTAACCAAGGTTTTATCCTAATAAATTTTTGTAATAAGATTTTTAATGAGTCAGCATCAAATATAGTACAAATGAATAATGTGCTATTTTCTTCTACTAGGTTTTTGTTCCATGAGGTTTTTCTTAATAGAATTTTTTAATAAATTCTTATATGATGAACATCCAAGAAGGGGGTGTTATAAATATTAAGAGTATGGATATTCATCTCTCTCACATATTCATCTTTTTCTATGAAACTCCAACCATCATGTGTGTTTACTATCCTTTTATTTATCATTATTATTTGTGTAACTCTTGGTGTAAGATCATATCTATAAATAGAGCATGTTATTTGTATTAAAATGACAATAATTCATAAGAACTCACCTCATTATCTTATCTCTATTTTTTGTCCATATATGTTATTTCCTAGTTAGTTAATTTAATGACATATAAAAACTTAATTATTTTTATGGATAATTTTCTTTGGAAAAAAAATTGGGTGAAGCCAATCTAGGCGTCCATTTATATCTTGCTATTCCCCTTTGGTATTGAAGTCTGAAGATTATCTTTCTTTTTTGAATAAACATAACTTTTAATCTTTACACTTTACATGCAATTTATTATTGATTCTTACACATTATTTTTGATATTCTAAATCCCTACAACTTTCTCCATCTACACTTTAGGTCCCTGTACCTTTTAGAGGGGTGCTGGTGCGGCATTAATAATGTTAATTATGCTGATGTAGATAATAACACTGTTAATTATATGGTGACGTGTTTGTTAGTGGCTGATATGTATTTTTTTGTGGGGGAAAAAAAGAAGAAAGAAAAGCTTTTGTGTTATCCCTCTGTGTAATAGCCTTAAATAATATATATATATATATATATACTTATTGAACTAACTATATGAATATATTTTAGTTATGTTTGGGATAATTATAATAATAAGGAGTACTGATAGAATGGAAATATGTATGCCAAACAACCTAAAGGTTTTCGGTTCGAATCCCTGATGCAATAAAAGAGAATTTTATTTTTTCAGCTTCTTCAAAATTACAAAATTACCCTTTTCTAAATATGATAAAAGCTTCCTTCTCTTCCTCGACCATTCTAGAAAAATAGAGAGAGAACGAGAGTATGAGAATATGACCGACTTAACCTTCCTATACCTCTGACCTTTCCTTATTTCAGTGATCACCGACTCATCCACCTTGTTGTTCGTGGTGGTGGCTAGTGCAGTTGATGCTATAAGTTTCTCTGGTTCGTTTTCCTTATATTCTCTGGTTTTATCATCATTCTCTGTCCTGTTTTTGGCTGTCTTCATTGGATTTGGTCGCTGCTCAGTTTCTGTCATCTATTCGGTTTGCTACTGGCGTGAGACTAAATCGCTAGAGCTGGACTCACGATCCTTTCCTTCCTAACTTAACCGTGAACGTTGTGTTCCGTTTTACCAGTCTGTGCTCCCTGTTTCTGCATCCTCTTTGCTTGCTGTCTGTTCGGGCTGTTCTGCACTAAGAGATCTTAAAGTGTCGAGTACTAGAAGGCTATTACTGTAAGCTTGTGTGGTGCGACTGAACTAGCCTTCTTCTATGGTGTGGTGTAGTGCTAGCGATCAGTTTGTATCTCCCTATTCAGTGTAAGTTTTACTTTTCTCTTCCTTATATGTACGTTGCTAGTTGCTGGAAGTAAGGAAGCTTCAGGACTTGCTTTCTCTTGATGAATATACATGTGATTTGATCATTAAAGTTAGAAAAAATTTGGCTCCCCTGTTATTATGGTTACGCGTGCATGAAGAGGAAATAGAATTTTAATTTAAATAGAAATTACAAGTATAGAAGGAAGGAGATGATGTTATAGCCTAGAGTTTTATTTAGAGATAAGTGAATTATTAATATTGTAAGGGAAAGGATATTGGAATCTAGAAATAAAGACTAATCTTAGCTTGATAATTATGCCCATGAAGTATTTAATAACATGCTTAGTGGGAGAAATGTGTTGGTATGGGAGCTATTAAATTATGAATAGAATGATATTGGTTTTGGAATTTCAATGATGATGGTTGATTTTAAATTGTTATGGAAAATTTTTATTCAATTATATCCGTATAGAGTGTGTGGAAGAATGGGACCTTGACCAGAATTAAAAGAAGGAAACTTTTAAGAATTTGAAGCTCTAATAAGTAAGTGAATAGCATTCTTTTTAATTTATTTTATTGGTATTTTATTTTTAATAAATTTCTATTAACATATTTTATTCTTGTGAATTACATTAGTATTGAAACTTTGTGATATCGATGTGAGATATCAAAGGAGGGTACATGCATTTATTTCCTCAGGGAATATGTTTCAAAGAGTTATACAATTATTTGGTTTATTAAACTCTTGAAATCCTTGATTATTTAAATAACGCAAGTTCGTATATTATTTTATGAAAGATTATTTTAAATAGGTTTTAAATTGAAATTTAAAGTGATGCATGTGAGTTTGGTATTGGAAACGCAGATTATATTTCAAAAATAATTATTTGTCTCGCATGTTTGAAATACGATTTTTGAGATGACTCTAAACAGAACACTGCTGCTAACGGCAGTTCTGGTAGCCCGTAGTGCGCTGTGATTAAATACTAGCTAATTTGTTTCGTGAGTTTTATCCTCACGTTTGGTATTCGTGGGCTTCGTACTCGCGTTTGGTTCCGTGGCCTGAGCCGCGTTTGGTTATTTACCCTCGTGGACTGTGTGTTCACATTTGTTTCATAGCTATGGCTGCGTTTGGTTATTTACCCTCATGGACTGGTGTGTCCACGTTTGTTTTCGTGGCATAAGTTGCGTTTGGTTATTTATCTTCGTGGACTGAGTGTCACGTTTGTTACTTGTTCTGTTAAATCCTCAAAATTTTTAAATTTTGATCAACTCGTTCATTTGAAATGCCAATGGTTTCAATATCAAGTGTACTAATTTGATTTATGTGTGATTAATTTAATTTCTTTAAGTATGATAGAATAAAGTGCTTCCAAATCCACTCTCATTTCATGGGTATGATTATGATTTATAGATTTTTAAAGTTATTATGTTGAATTATACTCTTTTCAATTATTTTACATGATTATTTGAGTTTAATATGTGAATTCTTTTAAATTCAATTTTGGAGATGCTATTCACTAGAAAATTATTTTGGCCTTAGATTTGTTAGCTAACGCTGATCCCACCATCGACCTTTAAAGGGCAACTAGTTACAGTGGGTGGACCTTTTTGATTGGTATTGTTGCTCTAATGTAAATATATGATTTGTATGTCTTTTTAATTTGAAAGAAAGAGTAAATGCTCTACATAGATTATAGATGAACCCTATTTTTAGTCTGTATATTGATTGTTGGTTGGAAGGAGCTACGCTCCTTATTTATACTGATATTTGTAAAAAATTTTGTTGTAAAATTTTTGGGAGACCCTAATTACAGGGAGGTTCTGCCGAAATTTCTACAAAAAACGTTGACACTTTCTTATAATAATGAATTTAAAGAAGTTATTTTAATTCTCATGTGATTTGATTGAATTTTATTCTTTATATATAAAAAAATGAAATAAATATTCATTTGGAGGCTTACGGGAATGTGAGAGTGGTTCACACCCGTGCTGGTCACACTCTATTTTGGGGCGTGACACTCTGATTTTTTTTATAAGACATTTTCAACCGTTTCACACATCTTAAGAAAAGTTAGTTTTTTTAAATCATAAAAAAATGATTTGTACTCTCATTTTTACCCTTGACTTTGAATAATGATACAATTATATTAAATATCTTCACCTTAATTAAAAAAGATAAAATTAAAAAATGTAGTTTAATTATTACAAAGTACATTATATTTTGAATTAAAAATTTCTTCTAGAATATATCCCATAAATAGGACCCAATAGAGTATTTTTTTTTTAAATAATCAAAAAGTGAAAAAAAATAACTTTAGACATGAATTATATATTTTATATACATTAAAAAACAATAAACTATCTTGAACCTAACCCCAAACCTGACTTTGGAGCACAGGATCATAGGAAAGGCACCCTGAAATATAAAATTACAGCAAACCTAAAAATGAACACGTGATATTTTCTCATAGCATTAAACCCTATATATATATATATATATAATTATTAAAAAATACACATCAGCTTTTCTTTTCTTTTTCCCCAGAAAAATGCACATAAGCCATTAACTGACACATCACCATATAATTAACGATGTTATTGTCTATATTAGCATAATTAACACTGTTAATGCCATATCAGCACCCCTCTGAAAGTGTTTAAACCTAAAGTATAAACAAAGAAAATTGTAGAAATTTAAGAACACCAAAAATAAAAAGTAGAAACCAATAACAAATCACGTGCAAAATATAGGGGTTCCCTTCTTTTTAAAAAAAAAGTATAATGAGAATATTTTAGTAATTATACATAAAATTTATTAATAAAGAATGAATTTGAAACTTAAAGGTAATTTATTGCACATTTCATGGAACCTCAGTAATTAAAATTCCTGTGAAAGACTTATTTTCCCATTAATATTCAGAATTTGAGATATTTAAAGAGTGTCGATTTTCTGTTGTCAGCAGAAGAGCAATATTTAGAATTTGGAGAAATATTTTTAAAAGAGAATATTAATAAATCTCCGACCAAGAATAATCATTCCACCGGGATAAGGAATGAAAAAGATAAATACATCTGACAGTCAAATTTTAGAGGAGTCCAAGTACCAAAGCTCCTTTTACAATATTAATATCCCTCATTCATACCCCTTTTATGCCTCTTCATAAATAACAGAAGAGAACAGCATTAAAAAGAAGATTATAAAACATTAAAATTCCCACCTACATATCATTTTCTACATTATTAATATCATGATATATATGATGCCACGTCTGGTAAAAGATGCCTCACAGCTAGACAGTCCTCTGTCACTTCCCTCTAATGTCATCAAAACTTGGGCCATCTCTCACTCTCTCTGTGATCATGAAATAAAGAAAAGATGCAACGGTCCACGCGCTATCCTCTTTTCAAAATGCCAACATGCTAACGGACAAAGATGCCCCATTCAAATTACCCAAACCTCTGAACCCACCACAAACACAAACCTCGCGTCCTTTCCTTTCCTTTCCTTTCCTTCTGATATCTCTCAAGTTCTAAACTTTATTAGCTTCACAGTTGATAAGTTCACCATATGCCTAATTGAGATATTTTTATATTTAAATGTAAATAAGAGCATATAAAATACACTACAGAGAGATGGGGATGAGAAGAGTCACATGGACATTAAGAATCCAGTTTGGAATCCAACACAGCACAACACAACTTACACAAGAAGCCAATTAAAAAAAAGAACTCATCAAAATTGGAGTGTACCCTCCATAACACCTAACTGAGTTTTCATTGGCTCACTCTAGTTCTTGGTGCTTAACCATGCAACCCCCGTCTCTTCATTTTCTTTACTTGTCCCTTCATATGATTAAACCTAATTTACAAGTCTTCATCTGCAGACTGACCCTACCTAATCACCTCTAGCCACTTGCAGAGAAACAATGGCTTCTCGTGTCTCTCCAGTTGGCCACTAACTTTGCTTCATGGAAGGTTCCCTCTTTTTAACCTTTGGTTGGGACCGTGAGAGGTAAACTTGGCACTGTATAACAGTCTTACCAATCTTGAAACCTGGTACTACTGTGAAAGCCACTTGTGGGTATGATTCCACCGTCTGGTCCGTCTCCGATGAGACGAAAATTTCTTCATTTACACTTTCCATGTACACATCAGAGAACCTGCATCCCTTCCTCAGTTGAAAGATTGAAGCTTGCGGCTCGAAAGAGAAGGCCAGGCAATGTAAGAGCCATACCCTCTTTGCCATCTCAGCAAATGACGAAAAGAAGCTGCTGCTGGGAAACTCTCCTGTATTCAGAAGGTTTCTCTGGTTCAGATCACCGAATATCGATGATTCCATCTTCGGATGAATAAGTCGCAAGTACTTGACCCGACAAAACTTTGCAAATGGAGATTTTGGTTTCTCGGCGAGATATTCTTTTGCTTTAATGGATTTCAGTTCGTTGAATCTCAGGAAGAACACTTGACGTAGATTGTTTCTATCTGGTAAAGACTCGTTCGGAAGGGAAAAATTAGGGAACTGAAAAGAGTCAAACATTTCCCTGCAAACAAATGACTCAATTGCATAACACTTGTGATCCTCTTTCAAGTACACTACATTCTTTTCAATAGCATCCACTGCAGCATCAATGTCCCAACCAGCAGATCTCATCTCATCTACAATCAACCGAACAAAGTTCCGAATAGACCTGACCGTCTGGCGAAGGACTGTAATAAAATGGCCAGGATTTAGTCCTGATATATGAAGATTATCAAGCATAGATAACGACCCACTTTGGTTCAATCTCTTCTCCATTGACCTGTTCTGCTTAATAGCTTCCTGCAACTTGTCCTTAAGAAACACAACCTCGGATTCCTTGAGCTGAACCTGAGACTCTAACTTCTTCCCCATGATGCCATAAGTCTTAATAACACTATGAAGCTCCTTCAATTCGGCCTCCAGTATAGCTGTCTCTGGTGAAGAATCAAATTGCTTTTTCAAATAACACTGCTTTAGCTCAGACAAGTTCTTCAACTCAGAGACTAGCAATTGATCTGCGGCTTGAACGCCTTCAGGCTCATAAGGCGACTGAGCATACTGAAGTTGAGCATATGCAGCTTTAACAGATGAAATGCTAGCAAACAGTTTAGCAAGCAGAGCTTCCATGGCTGCTCTTTCCTGAAACTCATCTTTTTCATCAAAAGACTGAGACCAGTTCATAACCTTATCCACATTTCCTTCATCTTGGAGATCTCTATCTGTTTTAACATTCTTCAGTCCATCAACTGGAGCAATTCCAGTCAGAGTTCGAATATGAAGAATTTTGGCGATAGTTCGAGCCAGTTTCTTCTTGCTCGGTATCACAGCCAATGGCTGGACCGACTCCATCAGCAGAAAATTAACCAAGAATGCGAATCAACAAGGCAATTGTGAAATGGGTCTTCTTGTGCCTGAATTTGAAAAGATTGACAAGAGAACAATAATAAAGTTAGAAGATAATGGTGATCTTCATAATGAACATGCCCCAGAAAAGAAAAAAGCAACATGCTTTAATGCTTAGATCGAGGCCACTGATGAAGGACTGGAATTTCCTATTGTTCTTCATCTATTAAAGTTGAGTCTGCCCGCTTTCCACAGGGTATAAAGTCTCTCCGACAGCGGATTTAGAAGACAAGGAAGCTAAAATAACATATAAATGCATCAGAAGTTCAAAAGTTCAATGTTCATTTCAGGGCTATTAATCATCTTTCCCAAAATGACACGTTTTAGCAAAAAATTTAAATCATAAACAAGAATTTAACATCAAGCAAGGTATAGGAAAAGAAGATTCAGCGAATGAATCAAGTTAACAACTGTGATAAAAATGAGATCTTCAAAAAACAAAAAAGGAATAGCTCAAAACAGTGTAAACACAGTAACAAGCACAACGTTACTTTTTCCTGCTTTGACATGTTGGTCAGCTGTTGATGAGTATGCTAAAGTTTCGCTTCAGATAGCATAATCAAAACCCTTTTCTAATATTTTAATTCAATTTAATTGAACTGGAAATTAGTTTTATTTTCTTTGGCATAAATCATTCTGAAAGTAATCATGACTAAAGACAATGATTATCAATAACAATCCTATTTATCTCTCCCCCATAATAACAAGAAGGCAAGCACCACCACCAGATCTATAACTTCAGAAACGGTAAAAATACAGAAAAGAAATATTGAGAGGTCAAAAATCAAACGGTTTCAATTGCAATTATAACAAGTACAGATTACGATAAGAAATCTTATTTAACAAAGAAAACAAGTCTTGTGGGTATGATTTATAACTCTTAGGATTCCCTGACGTCCTGATTCAAGATCTAGAAAGATCTGGCTTTAGCAGCCTGAGTGTACAGGGGGACCTACCAAAGTGAATATCTGACATCAAATAATGCCTTCATAACATTTCATGCTTCATTATCCTATACAATGCCCAAATGTTTCATAGGTTCTAGCATGAGAGATGTGAGTAGTTAGTAACAAGTTGCTTTATTCTTTTGATATCACTTCTAGCTTTGCTTGGGTTAAGAGTGTATAAAATAACTATTCCTGTTCGTACTAGAAAGAAAATTTTGTCCTGTTAGCATAATTATGTTTTTCACGTGACTAAGATCACCACCTCATAAAGCACCCAAGGCTTCTGCAACTGTATACAAACATGTGAGCATCATCTTTTTAACCCGCCTTGACATTTTACTCACAGATTAACATAAACAGCCGTCATAACATATCAAATTAGTTTCATAAATTACTGTAATTTCAGAATCAACAAGGACAGACATCCAAATGACTATGGTTGAGAGTCGAGAGAGAGATGAAAGACCTTAAAAAAGCACACTAATGGAAGATGGAGCCTCAGAAACATGAACCAAATTCAGCTTAAGCCTAGACTAGAAAGTGAAGTAGCTGATTTAGTAAATAACCGATTTTACTAGAAAGGTGCTAAATACTGTGTTCATACTGCAAGAAAGATATTCTACCTAGAAGGCCAGAGATTATAAAAAAATCACAGGAAAAATGAATGATCAACAGAAGATTAGAAGAAAAAAGCCATTGATTTAGAATACCCCGATAAAAACATGCGACCACTTGAGAAATATCCCGAGAAATCGGACAATGAATGTATCAACTTCTTATTATTGTAAAGCGTGACTCTCAAGTAAACAGAGTCAAAACTGCGACCTTTTTTTTAAAAGCAAAATACTGCGACCTTGAAAAACCATGTAATTAAAGACATGCTGTGGTAAGAAAAACACCAAGAACAAGCCCCAGAAAACAGAAAATGATCCCCTTTTCCCCCAAAACGCTAAAAAGCAACACAACAAGACCTTAAAGCCAACGCAATGAGCACTCCAACCAGCTCACGGAAATGAACAAGAACCCCACAAAAAAAAAAAAGTTGAAGCAGATGACTGAGATCGAAGAAGAGCGATATGAAAAGCTCGTCGTTAGAAAGATATCAAAAACACGTACACGATCTTTTCATCTTCGAACTAGAATCCAACACAGCGGCTTCCGATTTCGATCCCCAAAAAAATAGGGGTGCGAAAAAGATGAAAGAAACGAACAATGAGAGGCGAAATGATGACAGAAACTAATGGAAATGGAAATGGGGTTTGCTAACCTCGCTATGAAACTAGTTTCTTTGAGTACCTTGATGCTTCAATTTCTTCAGTGCATCCTCAGACCAATGCTCGGCTTCGTTTTGCTTTTTCTTATTTCCCTGCCGTTCTGAAACGCAAGGTCCCTACTGATTACTGAAGGTACCACAGGCCTATAGTACCCCTTGAGAGAGACAGAGGGACACAGCTGGAAGAGAGAGAGAAGCAGAGCTGAAGGGAAGCAGAGCAGAGAGAGGAAAACAGAGGACCGGACGGGGAGGAGAGAGAAAACATTTGAAAAGACGAAAATGGGCAGAGCATTGGGAATAGGGAATATCACAGACACAATTGGTCTAGTCGCTTTCCCTGACCTATTGATACTATTTCTAGCTAGCCTTCCTCCACCACGTTACGACGGAAAAGACATTAGACAATTTTTTTTTCCAATAGGTTTTTTTATATATACAGGGGCACATGAATTTTTTTTATATTTTAATTTTTTAAAACATATAAATTTGAAAGAATGACATTTTAGTCCCAAAGAGTAATTTAATGTCAGTAAAGTCCCAAGAAATTGAAAATGTTGACAAAATCCCACGGTACATCGATTGAAAATGAAAAGACGAAATCACCCCCTCTCTATATGGCAACAGGTGACGTAATGGTTTCAAAATCATTTCTCCACGCTCATCAATTACCCTCAAAAGTCAAAACTCTATATTGCCCTTTCTCCCTTTCCCAAACAAATCCAAAATTCTAACATCTGATCTTTAAACAAAATTCTTAAAGAAATAAAAATAAGCAAAATTTATGACAGAAATTTTTATTAATTACAATGATTACATTTTATTAAAAAAAAATATTTCACAGGTTATAACTTATAAGTTTTTATTATAATGTAACAAATAAATTACTAATAAATTTGCACCGAAATTTTTATTCAAATTACTAATAAATGTATTATATTAAAATTATTAGGTTAAATTAATAGTATAATATTAACAACTTAAATTTTTTATTTTAATATATTTTGATTTTATAATTATATTTTTCATTTTATATAGAAATAATCACTAATACATGTTTTATATTAAAATTCGTAGGTTAAATTACATTTTTTTAAATGACAAATTACTTGCAGCAGTAGCTGGATTTCCATAAAATTTATTTTGATTTGTTATATTATATTAAAATGCTTTCCTTCCATACCACAATATAAGTTATTATTAATTAATTTATATTTTAAAAATTTTAAAATATTAAATTTTTAAAAATTTACATATTTACATTTATACTCTTGAGTGTAACAAATATAACTTTTGAATTGTTCAAAATATCTCATTAATTATTTAATAAAGTAAAGATGTACACCCTCCATTAAAAGTATAAATTATTTTTAATTGAATCTCACTTTTTAATAAAGTAATTATCTATTTTAAAATTAATATTATGTTTTATATTTACCTTTATTTAATAAAAAATTTTGGCCAAAATTCAATATCATGTTTCACTTTAAAATAAATATAAGTAATTTATTTATTAAGAATATTTTGAAAAATGCACAATAATTACGTTTTGAAATACTTAAAATACCTTATATTTTTTAACATTCAACTATTTAAAAAATATTTTACATTTTTTAATGAAAGAGTAATTAATATATATATTATATATATTATATAATAACTTCTGCCAATTATGTTATATTTTGGACCAAATTAAACTTTTAGAAAAAGATTTATATTGTACTGTACTCCAATATAAGTTATATCTTGTAAATATTTTTTTAAGAAAGTGTTTGTCATTATAGTTGATAAGAATTTCTGTTCATAAATTTTGTTTATTTCTATTTTTGAAGAATTTATTCAGAAATTAGAAGTTAAAATTTTGGATTTTGTTTGGGAACGAGTGAGAGGGAGATAGGGTTTTTGAGTATCATCGTTATACAAGGAGAAATGATTTTTCAGAGTCACGTCACCTGCCGCTTTACAGAGAGAGGGGGATGATTTCGTCTTTTTCATTTTTGATCAATGTACTTTGGGACTTTATCAACATTTTCCAATTTCTTGAGACTTTACTGATATTAAATTAGTTTTTTGGTTACAATGTCACTCTGCCTATAAATTTTTTTAAATATATTCAAAAAAAATTTTAAAAATAAATTTTAAAAACAGTTAAATTAGTAAATTATTCATTATTCAATTCATATATTTAACCGCATTCATATCTCTTTTCACATTTGAGCACACTTTCCAAGAATTTTGGTATACTTTGTGCCGTGTATGTTTGTGCACCCATGGGCTCCCCGTTTTTGACCTGAATTAATGCCTTGGATCTAGTCTAATTTTAATTCTAAAACTGAATTAAAAATATATAATAATATTTTCTTGATCAAAAAATATCTAATATTTGATTTTTTATTGTTTTCACCCGTTATTTAGTTGTACAATATTTGCATTAAGCCAGTAATTCATGGTGAATGAGATAAATTTGGACTGAACTAATAATACTTGAATATGTCAAAAATTTAGTATTTAATTAAATCCCACCCTAACAACATTAGGTTTTACTCGGGCCAATATGAATACCTAAATTATTAAAAAAATTGGCCAATTTTTAATTTTTTTTTTGATCATTTCAATGTTTACCTTGAAAAGTTAAGATTTTTTCAGACAATAAAACTCTAAAATACATTTTTCTGCTTGCTAATTTAAGATTAAGTATTGAAAGAGTAATCTGAAAGCATATGAATTAATATCTAATGTTGGTTGTTCTTTAATAATTTTTAAAAAATAATTTAAAAAGTCATTATTGAAAAATTAAAATTTTATTTAGCAGTGAAAACTGTAGGAAATAACTTGAAAGGGGTTTATGAATGCTTTATTTATTACTCTCTTCATTGTAATT